AAGGACGAGGAGGAAGAGGGAAGGTGGGGGGGCGCGCGAACGCGCGGCTTCCCTCCCTTCGCCTGCCTGCCTTGCAGCCTGCTTTCGTCCCTGGGGGCGGCAGGAGAAGGACGAGGAGGAAGAGGGAAAGTGGGGGGGCGCGCGAGTGCGCGGCTTCCCTCCCTTCACCTGCCTGCCTCGCAGCCTGCCTTCGTCCCTGGGGGCGTCAGGAGAAGGACGAGGAGGAAGAGGGAAAGTGGGGGGGGAGGACACATGACTTCCCTCCCTTTGCCTGCCTGCCTCGCAGCCTGCCTTCATCCCTGGGGGCGTCAGGAGAAGGACGAGGAGGAAGGGGGAAAGTGGGGGGGGGGAGGACGCGCGAGTGCGCGACTTCCCTCCCTTCGCCTGCCTGCCTCGCAGTCTGCCTTCCTCTTCCCGGCCAGCGTGGCCCCGCATCACTCTCGCGGCGGCGGCTCCTTCCTGGCACCCATCTTCGGCCCGTCTTCGGTAAGTGAGTTTTTTGCATAGGGACGGACGCTATGCCTCCGCATTAGCGATCCCGGAGAAGGGATTGCTATGCGGATTCGTCGTTATACGGTGCGCTCGTTATGCGAGGCACCACTGTATTTTGTTTTCTATGAACACATCCAGAGCTCTCTCACTCAGAGAAGGTGTGTGAGAGAGTTGTGGATTTGTTCATAGAAAACACAGCACTAAGTGAAACAGCGCTAAACAGGGCAGTTTAAAATGATGCTCTTTAGGATCCTGTACCTGGATGGTGGAACGCTAATGCCCTTGGGACTTCTGAGTGCCACAGAATGGCCACAGAAGGGACCGTGTTGTAACGAAGCAGCACTATGTGAGACTGCACTAAATTGGGTATCACTGTATTTGTTATATGACTCTTACTATTCAGTGTTGTAAATTTTCTCTTCCTACTACATTCCCAGTGTTCAAATCTGAGCAATGCTGTTCCTTTATGACTGCTGTAGGTACTCCAGTCCTAAGGATTTAAAATCATAGTAAATGATATTAAATCATAGCATTCACATACAGATCTGGTCTATAGAAAACTAATGTAAGCCAGAATTTCCTTTTTGATTATTTTACATCAACATTCTTCTTTTAGACTGTTTGTTCTCTCTTGTCTGGTTGGCTGTTCTCTGAAAAACCTTGAAATGAGTTAGGGATTACAGACTTCTTTAATGTTAACACACACCCCCTTCAAAAAATCAGCAAATGTTTGCATTCAGAAAGGACATTAAATTACATTATGCCTTATTATTTATAGTGGCCAATGGCTATATGGTGTATACGAAGAGTACTTTAATGCCTGATGTATATAATTACAGAACATTTTGTGAATTATACATATATCATATAGATTGTATTACTTTATTATCTTTTCTGGTAGATGTTGTTCTTTTGTAACCATGAATTATTCTTAAATGTTTTATTTTAATATGCTTACTAATATCTGAAAACTCTTAATACTAATCACAATGGATATATATTGTTTCTAATGTCAGAGGCAATAGAACTTGTAAGAGCACTTGACTGCAGAGGGAGTGGAACGTTCATGTCTAGCCGATGACATTATATGTCATCAGCTAGACATGGCTGTTCAACTTGGCCTTCCCTCCAGCCAATTAAGTCTTTCTTATTTTTCTCCCCTTTTATGCCATGCCATCCTGGTAATCTTCTTCAAATTAAGTGTTCAATTGTAATTGTAATTTTATAATTTTATATATTTTATATTGTTCTGTTTTATCTATGTAA